GGACGGGTGTGGGGGGGAATAGCGTGAGGTGAGATCCCAACCATTTAAAAAGGTGGCCAAGGTTGAGAAACACTGATCTAGATGCTGTAAGGCATAGATGCAAAATTAAGGCTGCAACGGTCCCCCAAAATCTGGGGCCTGATCCCCAGGGATTGCCCAGCATTGTTAATTATGATTAATCACATGACCAGACAGCAACGTTATCAACTCTATATGACGTTGAACTAAGATGAAATACAATTTAGTTTTCCTCCTGGCTTTGAGTTATTCCGCTCGAAGGCCAAATGGGAACCTCAGACTGGAAGGCATTACATGCCCCTAGCTTATGGCTCCAGTGTGTTATGTGAGCCCTGCCAATTGTGGTCTGGCCAAGAAACTATGATTAAACTGCATATGAACCCAGATGGCGTCTTTGGAAAAGCAGGCTCCCTCTGGTGCCCTTTTCTCCCAGTTGGGTGTGCAAGATGATGAGAAATTCACCAAAAGTGAGGGAAGGATAATCCCCCTATTCTTATTTCCCTTCTCCGTGGCCATCAGACCCTCTTCCCCTCTGTTAACCCACCTCTCCTCCACAGTGAAAGAGTAAGGTAAGAATGGGAGGAATCAGGAAAGGCTGTAGAAAATATTTCCTGACCATGAAAATTCCACTGGCCTATTTCTTTTTCTGTGAAGGCTTTAAGGGCTTTAAAAGGCTTACCTTTATGAGAGCTAGAAACTTGTCTAGTCCAAACTGACCTTGAGTAATGGACTTATCTGCCGCTCAGAGTGCACGCTCTCCGCTGAATTGCACTGAAGCGTCTGCTGTCGAGGTATCATTTTGATGCCTCGGTGTAATGTATAAAACTTGGAACCATAAAATGGATGAGTTGAAGGGATCCCAGAGATCAGCTAGCCAGTGCAGGAATCTACTCTTACAGCAGACCTGGAAGATGACCACCCAGTCCATCTGCATCCTTTAAAAACTTGTCCCACCTTTTCAGAGCACCTGCAACCGACTTCGGTTCGGGAGCTGGTTTTAGACTACGTGGTGGAACGAAAGCGGATGCCTGATCTATGCGGGAGCATCATCGACGGTCGCTTTCGCGAACAAAAGGTAACCGGGAAAGAATTTAAAAAGTAAATCTGGTGTAGAATTCAATTCTAACTGGAAACCATTCCTGCGCTAGAATTTAATACACGGAGTTGTATCACACTCCACATTTGGGTGTTTCTACATACAGAGTCTGTAACTCAGTTTTATGGAAAATTAGATTTGTGGCATTGATTCAATTCAGTTTATGGCAGTTTATAGTTTTAGTTAGTGATTTATGCTGTGTTCACCCGGGCTTTTAGTTTAAAGCTTAAGAAGGACTTTTAATTCTTTCTTCAAAACCTAATATGATATATCTTATAATTTTATAAGTAATTATAAAATTACTTTATAGTGGCCAGCTGTCCGCAGCCTGATTTTCCATCTTCTTGGATTTTCCTTTTTTAGTATTGTTCTTAATTCTGGATG